GTCCTGTGTTCAGTCTGTGTCCAATCATTGTTCTGTGCTGTGCTGGTTCCCCAGTCAGTTTGGTTGTCTCCGTGTTCTTCATGTTTGCTTCCTAAGATCTCCTTGTGAATACTTTGAGCTACCTCGTCAGCCTTTTTGTTTGTTTAATAAAGACTTTTTGTTACTTTTTGGATCTCTGCCTGCGCCCTGGGTCATTCTGCACACAACCTTACAGTTCCTGGAGATACTATGAAAGGACTTGCCTCTTGGTATGGGATTATTTTCAACATAGTTTTGAGGATTTCTCTTGGTTACCACCGTGCCAAACTTCAGCTCATTCTGGCTAAAGTTGACCAAGTTATGATCAATTTTACATTTCAGTGGTGGTGGACATGTTAGATTTTGAATTCAAAATGTGATGGGGATTGTTCTCCGCTACCTCCACACCATATTATGTCTTAAAACTTCAGAGTTACAGTCATCATTCACTGCTCATTAACATAAGTAAGGATTGAACTAAAGTTCAATTAGTAAAAAAAAAATCATCCCCTTGTTCTATGCTTTACTTTGTAACGAGGGTCTGGAACCTCGACTATTGAGAAGTGATTTCTTACTGGAGGCGTGGACTCTGTTGAAGTTTAAAATGATTGGATCTGATTTACCCAATTACTAACGTTTGGCCGTGACGTTTGTAGTGCACCAGCTCACGTGTGAAGGAAGCTATGTTAAGAAGGTAACCAGGAAGTGTGTGCACTGTAAACAACCGTCCCCTACTAGGAAGAGAGAAGTCACTGCAGATTCTGCACAATTTTGCCTTTGTATAAAAACTATGACACTTTAAACCCTCCACTTGCAACAGTAGCTCAATCCCAGCTTGGAGTTGAAAATCCTTCTGGTTGAGGGCCATGGCATCAGGCGTGGAAGTGCAGACATACAGTCTTTTTCTCAGCTACTCCACACTTGCCTGCAAACTGCTCCCCTGTCTGCTGGAGGTCAGCAGAACATCCTCCTTGAATGAACAGTGATGTGATCCAAAGTTTCCTGAACTGGAGATCCTCCACCTCTTGGTTGTGCCAAGTTCTGTCAGTAAAAGTTACAAACAGAATTGGTAATGGAGGGCAACTTTGGCAGAATTTAACTCTTTCTAAAAATGATTACGATCTATTGCTGTTAATGCAACCCAAACTTCACTCTGTCCAAGGATGGGATGGTCCTTGGTGGAGGACCTGAAACCCCACAGTCCCTGACATATCTCCCTCAGGACACCACGAAGGACATGATCACAAGTCAAATCTGACTGGTGCTTACTTCCTGTATTTACTGCATGWTTACACTGAAGACTGACCGTGGTCTCTGGTAATGAAATGTGTAACAAAAAGAAATGTATCAAACCTGCTCAAAGTAAAACTGAATCTTGTGTAACCCCTGCCGTTACACCTACTCTTTGACCCTTAACTGAAATCACAATGTGAAATGCTTAAAATAGTCTTCTATGAAATGAGACAGTCCTTCAAAAAGCCCTCATGCTATCAGTTGTCACTGATATGTTTTTAGGGACTCTAAATGTCAATGATCCGGTGTCTAGCTGCATTAAAACATGTACTTCGAGATACGGTGCTATTTCTGAAGATGTTAAAACAGATTGACAATAATACTAAAAGAGTAATACAACAGAATGCAYCACAKTATGATGGTGATACTTTTTAAAAGCTGAGAAATGTGAAACTATATTTGCTTTCTTTATACTTGTTAAAATAAACAATAGATCATTTACTGCAACTCTCTGAGCCATGAGACAAATTAATCCAGAAGACGATCCTGTCTTCCTGAAGTAACAGCCTGTAAAGGCTTTAGTCAATGACCTGTTCTAGTATAAAGCAAAAGACATAAAGCTGCTTCACGTGCTCTCTCATTATTTATCAGCATGTAAAAAGGTTTCCATTGAAATATAGCAGAGCTGTTTCTTTGGACAGGATGAGACAGTGAGAGTTGTTACTTAAAACATTTTAATGGCTGCTTGTTTGAATTGTGTTTATTCCTCAGAGATAAAGTCACTGTGTGGTAGGGAAATGCATCAGTCTCCTTTAATTTCAATTTAAGAAGAGATCATTTGTTCTTTTTTAGTGTCCCATTAGGAGCAAGTGGAGATGTTGTTCTGCCTGCTGCTGCTACGTACCTGTCAAAAGGTTGGGGGTGAGTTATTTTCAACCTGTCTAAAGTTACATGGTGATCACCAGAACTGGCACAACCCTTTCACTGACATCATGACAATGAGAGAAGCAGAAAAAAACTATTGCATTAGAATAAAATGCACTGAGTGCCAAATGTTAATAATAGGTAGCTGTGTTTGGAGGCAAACTCTGAGGAGAGAATAAAGAAAGAAAAAGGTGACTTTGTTTGTCTGCAGAGTGTATCTACACAGATCAGTGATCAGTGTTTCAACTGCAGCAGTCTCTGTGATGGACTCACTTTCACAGTGAAGACAGTAAAAATGGTGCCGTTTGTCTCAGACACCAAAGAGACGTGAGACATTTCAGGAGACATTTAGGAGTTGACTTGAAAATCACAAGTTGTCATAATGAGCCTCTGCCCCTCCATCTGCACCCCCTCCCTGCCCCCTGAGCTTTAATAAAGAAGAACTGGAAGCC